AACTGCCTAGTCATTGTTGCTTTTAATTAGGTCCAACTGCATTGCTGTTTCAAATTATCATCATCAACAATGAGCAAACATTGTAGATTAACTAAGTTGACAATTTCAACAAAATCTGTAAATTCGACTTTTGTAATTTTTAAATGGATTGTTTAATAATGTAGGAAACAGAGGTTCGAGAGGGTGACAAAAGACCTAAAGGTGACAAGAGTATTTTCGACATTAGTAGAAGAGATGAAAGCTATAAACGTTGGTAGCGGAAGCGGTGAGCCACACTGTACGGAAGTAATGTCTCCGGTGGCGCACAACCGACGTAGTCCCGTTCTCCTCCTCATGGGCGGTGGAATGGGTGCGGGCAAGAGCACTGTCCTCAAAGATATCATGAAAGAGTAAATTTTCTAATTAGGATATAAATTTTGCTTGTATAATATATAGTTACAAACCAATCTAAATTACCAAAAATTTGATATTTTGTAGGTCGTTTTGGTCCGAGGCAGAGGCTGATGCGGTGGTGATAGAAGCGGATGCGTTTAAGGAGACGGATGTTATTTATAGAGCTCTTAGTTCTAGAGGTCACCATGACGATATGCTTCAAACTGCTGAATTGGTACGTTCATTGTTTGTAGAATTATTATCTTCCTTCACGTTTAATGTATATATTTCTAAATGATAAACAATTTGAGTCATTTTTGATCATTGTAAATGCAAATGCTTAGGTTCACCAATCATCTACCGATGCTGCATCGTCATTACTAGTAACAGCATTGAACGAAGGACGAGATGTGATAATGGATGGAACATTATCATGGGAGCCATTCGTGGAACAAATGATCACAATGGCAAGGAACGCCCACAAACACCGATATCGAATGGGGGCTGGCTACAAGGTGTCCGAAGACGGGACAATCACCGAGGAATATTGGAGACAAATCGATCTAGAAGACGAAGCCAGACAAAATGCCAAACAACAACAAATCTTGAAACCTTATAGAATCGAGCTCGTTGGCGTGGTTTGTGACGCTTATCTCGCTGTCGCAAGAGGCATACGGTAAATTTTATTTTTGCGAATTTTTGAATCCAAAGATACATACTAGCTATTTCAAAATTTGGATAGTAATGTTATCCTTATACCTTACTATGTTATGTTTATAACCAATTTTTTTATTTGTATAAATTTTGTAGGAGAGCTCTAATGGTGAAAAGAGCAGTGAGAGTAAAATCACAGTTAAAATCACACAAGAGTTTTGCAAATGCTTTCCCAAAGTATTGTGAGCTTGTGGATAACGCTAGGCTTTATTGCACAAATGCTGTTGGTGGTCCTCCAAGGGTAAAAAAGTCAAAACTCAATATCGATATTATTACAACGACGTCGGTTTATAAGGCTAACTGACACGTGTGATTTTCTGATTTGTTCGCTGGGAGCAGCTTATAGCTTGGAAAGACGGATCCAGTAAGCTTCTAGTTGATCCAGAGGATTTCGAATGTCTAAAACGGGTCAGCAATCTTAACCCGGATGCAGAATCCATCATCGAGCTATACCCGGATCCGAACGAATTAACCAAACCCGGTTCAGTTTGGAACGATGTCGTTTTAGTCCCATCGAGGCCTAAGGTCCAGAAGGAACTTGGCGATGTCATCAGGAAAATCGAAAAAGCCCAAACGAAAAAATGATGATAATTGTGAACTAGTCCCTAGAAATTCTTATCTTTTATGTATTGGTCGTTTGTTTCAGTATGACCTTTTGTGTTTTTTGTACAAGCAGCCTTAATAAGTTCAATAATAAAATGGTTTTTTTCTTCACTCTTTCTACGACTTAGTACACGTATAATCACGTCAAACATAATTTTGTCGAAGCTATACTTTTCATTTTCTATTTTTATTCAATTACCAAAACATATGTATTTAGTTGCGTTTGTTCAGTATTTTTAAAGAAAGATGAATCTTGCACTTTTAATTTGAATCTTGCAATAATTTACGTTTAATAAGAATATTATAACAAAATATCCCATTCCCAAAAAAATTACAATCCTAACCTTGAACTTTCTAATTTAACAAATTTCATATGAATAAACTGAAAATCATTTTTTTTATTGCTGAAATCATTATTGAAACAATTATATCTCATGTTATCCAATTTTACAATCAAAGTTGTCAAATGGTTCATATTTTTCGTTTGTATTATAACATAAAGGTTATATAATTCTATTTTGAAGATGTTGTGGGCTGATATGAAAATAAATAAGAATACACAGACCACAACAGAAATAAAAATTCTTATCTTAGGGTTTTGCGGAGAGTCCCATATATAAATGTGTCGCTGAATAAAACTTCCTCCATTTATCTCTTTGCAAAGACCTAACGCAGTCAATCCAAGTCTCTCAAGCTTTAAGCCGTTTAGGGTTTTATCCTTTGCTGAGATCCAATCATGGTGAGTTCTTCGATCTCAATCTCTGAA